ATAGATAGATAGATAGATAGATAGATAGATAGATAGATAGATAGATAGATCGATCGGATGGATGCCAGGCAGTGGTGGTGCATGACTTTAGTCTGAGCACTAGGGAGGTAGAGGTAAGAGAATCTGAGTTTGAGGCAAGCCTAGTCTACAGAATGAGTTCTAGGACAGCCAGGGGTACTCAAATAAACCCTATCTAGAAAAAAAGGAGGGAGGGGCAGCAAACAAGGATAACTTAGTATGAGATAACTTATTTCACTACATGACTGATGATGACTTATCAGTTTAGGAATGTGTCACATGACCTGTTATTGTCATGTAAAGCAAAACAAATTCTAATCTGGGAAGGCAAAAATGAGCTTTTTCAAATTATACTCTTGGGCAGGGTGGTGGTGGCATATACTTTTAATCATAGCACTTGGGAGACAGAGGCAGATAAATCTCAGTGAGTTCGAGGCCAGCCTGGCCTATAGGATGAGTTCTAGGACACTATATGCAGAACCCTCTCTCAAAAAACAAAACAAAAAAAAACTGTACTCTTCTGGTGGTGATGTGAATTTTTCCCAAGACTGATGAAAAAGTGATCAAGGCAGCCACAGAACTTTGATTAAAGCATCAGAGAGTCTTCTGGATTGATGTTCCTATCACTCACGTGTCTTTCTGCACTTCAGGGTCATCGTATCGTCGTCCAATAAGTCGCTTAGTAGCATAGAAGGTATTGTTTGGGTTGGTGACAGCTTGACGTTTTGCTGGCATACCAACAAGTCGTTCCCCGTCTGCTGTAAAGGCAACCACAGAAGGGGTCGTTCTGGCACCCTCAGCGTTCTCCAGGACCTACAATTCCCAAAGACAATGATTAAAGTACTAGTCACCACTGGAATCTCTGTAGCCATGACTTAAGAAACACCCATGGCTTGAATCACATTAAAAAAAAGATGCACTAAACAAGTCTATGACCACACCACCTTTACGACGCCTAAACTTGTTAATTACATACAGAAGCTAAAATTTCAGACAGAGAGAACAAAAAAGGTTGAGCAACGTAAATTAGGACTAAGGAAAGACTGACTTCTCTTAGTATCAGACATGTGGAGTTTCAGCCTGTACCAAGCCCAGGCATGAGTAAAGAAGCAGCAAGGATGAGACAGACAACTGTAGATTCCCAGGAGCTCTAAGTATTGACCACTCAAAAGGAAAGGTTTGTATATTCTGCCTAAGAGGCTTCAACAACCTCTACACAACACAAATGTGGAGCTCTTCTTCTTTCTACCAAGTAGAGGCTTCCAACCTTGAGTTTTGCTGGACTTCTAACAGAGCAAGCCATTTCAAGTCCTCTAATGACATTACCACCTACCCCCCCCCCAAACAACATGTTTACACTGTACTCTAGGAAGTTAGATCCATTCAATTATGAACACCTAAAGGTTAATTCCTAAGTCTTAAAAAAAAAAGCAAAAGCAGCCTTTAAATGCAAATTAGAAGTCTGGAGTGGTTAATGCCTATAATCTTAGCACTGAATACTGCATCCTTGAAGCTAGCCCAAGGATATAGTATCTCAGAAGAAAAACCAGCACCAAACTAAATTCACCATTGTTTTTGAGACAGGGTTTCTCTGTGTGGCCTTGGCCGTCCTGGAACTCACTTTGTAGACTAGGCTGAACACAGAGTTCCCTCTACCTTTGATGGGATTAAAGGTGTCCACCACCAAGCTGGACTCTGATTCAGCATTTCTATGTATTTAATGCCAGACTAGATATCTAAGTGACCTCAGGCTTCCAGTTATGCTCACCTTTGCTTGTTTGCCCTCCATAACTGCCACACAGGAGTTAGTAGTACCCAAATCAATACCAACAACTGCACCCTTGATTGCTTCTGATCTGTAAGAAATGAAACACCATGATCATTTTAACAGTGGGTTCCAATATGGCAGGAAGAACTATGTTTTATATTGGTGTTAAGTGGCACATTGAATACAAATACAAATGAATGGTTATAAAGAGGAATAGTTACTTGTTAACAAAAATGCACCTTTCACAGCTCTGAGATTCAATGTGATTTTTTTTTTCAGAGAAACTGAGGTTATACTTACGCATAATCCCTTCTTGAAACAAATCTAAAAGCCTCATGACTAAGGCCATTCCAGCCATCCTAGGGGAAAAAAAAATTGCATCAGCCATCAACTATAAAGAAACTTGGGCTTTTTCCAATTATTATTCTGAGAAATACATGCAATCTTTAGCCCTTAGTTTGTAAAATACAGATAAATTTACATATCACCTATCTACAAGTTTTCCTGACTTGTCTGGTAAAATTAAGCATACATAAATTTTTCTTGAATCCCTTCAAGACAAAAAATAAAATTAAATTACACTGCAATAGATTTTTCAACTTTGACATTATTGATCTTGTACCAGTATTTGCTGTGACAAGCTGAGTGTGTGATGTTTAGAAGCAACTCTGGACTTTACCAACAAGAAGCCCTTAAATTAAGTGTCCCTGAAAGTCAAGACAACCTGGAAGCTGGCACATGTGCCTTGCTCGAACACAAACCCCCCACTCGTGTGTGTCTGTCTGTCAGGGAACCAAATCTGCTTAAGATCTATTTAGTTAAACACCAAAAAATTAAAACTTCAGTTGACTGGCTTAACGGCACATGCCTTTGATCCTAATACTTCAAAGTCAGACCTGGTCTATGTTAAGTTCCATAACAGCTAAGGTTACAGTTGAGGTCCTGTCTCAAAGTAAACTCACAACCCTGTACACCTGGCCTCAATTATGTGTGCACTACAAGTAGAGATTTAAGGTTTTCAGAGACATTTCCACTGGCCTGGTCAAACAACTATTTTGGAGAGCTACAAGTCTCATTCTCCAAAGATGCCCTTTTTCTTATTTCAGATGAAGATCCACAATCTTTTTTTCTATTTGTTATTATAAACCACAAGTAAGTCGAAGATCAAAAGAAAAAAAAATCTCTAACAGTGGAGCCAGGTGTGCTCGCCTTTAATCTCAGTCCTTGGGAGGCAGAGACAGAAACAGGTGGGGGTCTCTGAGAAGTCCACAAAGTCAATTCCCGGGCAACCAGGTCTACAAAGAGACCCTGTCTCAAAAAAAAATAAAGTAAAACGTAAAAGAATGGAGTTGGAATGTTGTAATCTCATTTTCAGTTCCTAATGTAGATACCCTCCCCCGTTTCTTCATAGCAACGACATTCTTGAATATTTACAGTAGGGAAACTATCCGTCGACTAGAAAATAGTCTAGCGTACATAGTTCTACCTTTTCGGTAAACTACATCCACTGCCTAAGACCAAGCACATCCATTGCGCCACAGGTTAGAGGGAGGACGACTACGTTGTGAATTAGTGGGGTAAAGACTTCAGAATGCCAAGGATTGTGACTCAGCATAGCTCGAGGTTAAAGCCCTCAAACAAGGCCAACAATGACCACCGAAGATCCGTTACCTTCCTTCACTACGGATTTCTCCTAGAGTCTGACCCCGAAGGGCAAGGCCTGCCTCACTGGAGACCCGGCCTGGAGCCCCTACCGGAAGGCATGGCAGCTCCTTACCTGGTGACGGGCGGCTGCGGGTCTCCGGGATGCTGCGGTGCCCACGAGACGCGCGGCCGCGGATCTGCTGGCGCTTATCATGGCGGCTGGACAGGCGGGGTACAAGGGCGAGAACAAACACGCCACAGGCCCGGAGCTGCGCGCACGGCGGTGGCTTCGCTTCTGGAAACCTCCAACCACGTGGGGTGGGGGGCGGGGGCTGGCCGCTGCAGCAGGGAAGCCCGCTCTTCTGCTGAGGCGCCGGGCGTGGTGCCTGACCAGAGACTACCTGTCCGCTGCTCCCGGAATCGGCGCACGCCGCGAGCACGCTCCTCAGCATGATCGATGAAAATTCACGTTCTCTCATCACGGCTTCCGCGGCTGTGGGACCAGTGAGAAGGGAGAGGGAGAAGAGAGGCCTACAGGCATTGCTTCAGACAGCCCCGGTCCTTGCGGCAGGAAAGACTCAAGGTCACACGGGATAAATTACGAACAGGTTACAGTCGCCTTGCGTCAGTTGCGCAGAAGGAGGAGCCTCTTGCGCCTGCGTTGTCGGCTCCGTACAGAGGCTCTGGAGCGCATGTGTAAGGGGCGGGAAGGAAACGGGTTAGGATTTAACTGTAGCGTTTATTGGGTACTCCAGTGTACGCGAATTTGCTGGAGAGTACCGGGGGCGCGAGTTCGCGCGCTCTCTGGTAGGCGCCTGGGAGTTTTTCCTGAGGTCTCTACTTGCAGCGGGCGCCATCTTGTCCTGAGGCGTTGTTAAGGGGTCCTTTGTTCTCTCTCACCGTTTGTTCACAGCTTAAAGTATGCACACCTGGATATGCGCGGTCTTATACAAATTTGTGCAGTGCATTGCTTCAGTGGGGTTAGGTTCCCAGTCTCTAGGGCAGCATCTGATTCACGAAGGTTTGAATCACTTTTAAGACTGTCTTGGGAACGATGAGGGGGAAACTACGTGAGCTCTTATCGACCGGTTTGCTGGGCCAGAGGCTCCTCTTCACTTTTTCAAACCTTGCGCTTGCCAGGTATTAGTTATACTGTGACTTTTTTTTTCTTCAAAGACAAGGTGTCCGAAGGAGTATAAATGGCGGGGCGCCGGGGAGGGTCTCTGTATGACCCTGGTTGTCACAGAACTCCGTATTTAGACCGGGCTGACCTTGATCCCACCAGTGTACTTCCAGAGTGATGGAATTAAAGGCCTGCACCACCCAACCCCAGTGTTTTACTAGCCTACAAGCTATGTGGTGCCTTTGTATCCTTAGTTGTCCTCAAACTCAAGGCTGTACTGCCTGACCCTTTCAAATGCCTGGATTACAGATGTCTGTCCGGAAACTTTCAGGGACAAAACTTGAACAAATGTGTCAGGTTTTTCTCGACGGTAGTAAAAAACAGTTCAGTGATTCAAAGACAGTGAAGTAGAACTTGGTTTTGGAGGTAAGCAGTTTGATTCAATAGAAAATAGTTGGGTAGGAAGTGGTCATACAGGCTTGTAATTCCAGCGGTCTTCTTTTACTTCATCACTTGTTCCAGGCCAACAAGAGCTACATGAGAGTATCTCAAAGAAAAAGAAGTAAAAGTGGTCTATCACTGTAACAAGTTATGAAGAAAGTGTGGGGGAAATTAGGAGATAAAATACAGTTTACATAATGAAAAGAATGGAAGGGAAGGTAGCTGGGAATGGTGCTGTAAGCCTCCAGCACTTGGGAAGAGGTAGAATCAGAAATGCAAGATCACCTTTGGTGATTTGGAAACCAGCTTGATGACACTAAGAGACCGTGAGCCTGTTTCAAAAAAGTTAATAAAATTAAGTTAAGCAGGACAGACAATTAGTGATAGATAATGTATTTTTTTAAAGGCCTGGTGTGATAAATGCTTGTGATCTATCAAAGATATGTGGAGGGTCTGATTTTAACACAGCTACACTGTTTCAAAAAGTAAAAGGAGTAAAATTGTATCTCAGTTGATAATGTGCTAGCCTAGAATATACTAGGTCATGAGTTCCATCCTCCTCATCCCATAAATCAGGTTTAGTGGTGCACTCTTCATCTCAGCTCTCAGAATACTGACACAGGAGGAGCATTATAAGCTCTAGACTAGCCTGGGCTATATTACCAGTACCAGGCTACCTAGGAGACAGTCTCAAATCAAAAGGAACCTCTCATCTCTCTTCATTAAATTACACTTGCCATTATATCCTTACTAATAGATCTAGCACTTTAAGAAACTACTTTGCCAAGGCCAAAGTTAGACTGTTGACCCCCTGAAAACAGAGATACTGTGCCATAATTTACTGGTGAAAGACCATAGAGAGGAATGACAAATACTAAACACGAAAAGAAAACAAAAGTTGAAACCATTGCACCTTACATTGAATATAACAAGAAGTAAGGCAGGTGAAGATAATTGAAGTCAGCGCATTCTCAGAAATTTGGTGTGGTGTCATTTGTCTCTGAGACAAAAGCAGGAGTTCAAGGACAGCCTGGGCTACATAGCAAGATCTTATTTTAAAAAGATAAAGTTGGCCTAGCATAGCCAAAAGCTTGAGGCCAGCCATGTCTATATAATGAGTTCCAGAATGAACAGGGCTCTAAGACAGCAAGACTTTGTCTAAAAGCCCTGAAGCAACAACAACAAAGTTAAGTATTTGTTTTTCTTCTTGCTCTACATACTTAAAAGCCAGAGTGAGAGCCCTGGAATCCACTGTTATATATCATATTTAGTTTATATCCTAGACTTGTCTCAAATTCACTAAATTTACGTGAGGCATAGAACCCAAGGTTATGTGCATGCTAAGCAAAAACTCAACTGAGCTTAGTCCAAATGATATTACCTAAAAGGTAACCACAGTTCTATCATTACGCACACACACATACACACATACACACACACACACACATATATAAAATGAATGAGATTGATTTTCCTTACGATTTTGTCAAGCTACTCAAAAATATTCCTTATGACCACAAGGGGGATGTGGTAGCTAAATGTTTAAAGCATGAACATAACAATAGCTTTAATATTTACCAGCATAAAGAATAACCTTCTGAACTTGGAACTGCCTTGCAAGTGAGCATGTACAGCCTGAAGGCTGGAAGAAATAAATTGAATCTAAGAAGGGTTCAGGTGACTGAAATGGATAGTGAGATTCATTGCCCAATGATACAGTTCACCATATACCATTACATTTGATTTCTCTGTTGGCATTTTTTATCAACTGAAATGGAAAGAACTAATGCATAATTTGCCTGAGGTTCAATGTATACCAAGTAGAAGGAGCGATAGTCCAATACCTGTGCATAATACACTTAGATGACATTTACTTGTTCCCTTTCTTATTTGGTCTAGTTTGACTGTGTATCACTGGCTGACCTCTAATTTGCTATATAGATCATGCTAGCCTCAAGGAACAGGTCTGCCTGACTCTACCTCCCTCATGTTGGTTATTAAAGGTGTGTGCACCAGCACACATAGTACTTTTTACTTTTTTATATGAGGTTTAAATTGTACAATCTGGTCTTGAATTGACTCTGTTTGGAGTGTGTATATGTGAATAATAAAACCAGAATTTGAAGCTAGTCTGTCTAACTCCAGAACCTGCATATTACACTAAAACCAAATCTGGTCTTTACTTTTGTGTCCACATATATATAGATGAGTAGTGTAATACTGACCTACTCCATTGTTACTTGCAGTAATTTTAGGTGGTAGAGTAAAAAAAGAATAGTTGAAAATGTCTATCATAGAATAACCGCTGTGAAATTCAGGGCATAATATGTAGGTAACTCAGTGGTAGAGTGGCTACCAAGAGGTGTCTAAGCTTAATCGCTTAATCGCCAGTCCTGCAGAACATATAAAAAAAAGGTTGAGAGAAGATTTAATCTGTGATATAATCCATAGGATTTATACTATAAGTTATGGACTGTAAGAACTATATATTATTTTGAAAAAACTTGAAACAGTTACGTGGCCCAAGCTAGCCCTAAACTTGAAATCTTCCTGTCTCAGCCTCCCAGGTGCTTGAATTACAGATGCTCACCACCATCCATGGGTGTGGGGAGCACCTCTGGAGTTAACTTTGGCTGACTTTTTGCTTGTGATTAATCATGAATGAATCTGCCAGACGTGTTATATCCTGCCGAATTCCTCCACTTACACATATAACCTTGAGAGACTGTCCAAGCCTGAAGAAAATGGCCTTAGTCAAACATAGATACAGTGTACCATGAACTGTCTACTGAAGCATATGTGGTCATTGTTTAACTTCCTGGAAGTGGTCATGCCTTGTATTGCTTGTTTTAAAAGACACTGAGAAAATACACTTGCTCGTTGGCATGGTATTAACCAGCAGCCCTACCCATCTCTGTCTCTTGCATCTTCTTCCTTCCTTTCCTATAATCATCCTCACTCCCTCAGTCGTGATTCCCAAGTTAACTGACCAGCTAGCTCTAGTGGAATGGCATCCAGTGTGGGGCTCCACTATGGGAGATGAAGTGAAGGACAACTCTGAAAACGTGATTGCTTGGAAAAAGGGAGCTTGGTAAGTATTTCTCAGGATTAAAAGATGCAGGAAAACATAGATAAGGGAACTCAGAAAAGATAAGGGAAGTTGTAAAAAGTAAAAGTCAAAAAAATGGAAAAGTCATATGCTTTTTGTACAAATGCTTAATATGCTTTGCTAAAATAGAGCAACAGCAATTAGGTAGTTTTTTAGATTTTGTAGAGAAGGTTTGTCCTTAGTTTTCTGAGGAAGATACAATAAATTTAGCACCTGTAAGAAAGTTGGAGAAAGACTTCAAGATTATTATGATGTGCATGGACTAGGTAAAGTGCCTGTAGATACTTTCAGTCTATGGACTCTGATTAGAGCTAGGAGAGAGAAGTGGGTTTCATCGCCCCCCCCCCCCCACTTCCCTATCTCAGGATGCTTTAGTGAAGAAGAGAGAAAGGGAAAGTAAGCTGTCCCAAAGCTGGATCCTGGACATGCTCCCACCCTTCCCTTCTGGACCACTGGCATAAGCTTGATCCCTCCTCCTTCTTGAGCAGCTGCAGACACAGCAGAAATTTTTAAAATAAAGTTCGTAATTGCAAGTAAAGACATTTAAAGTTGGTAAATGCAAGTTATAAATGTTGGAAGGTCTAAGATGTTTTAAGGTATATAA